GGTGGGGACGTTCAGTTTATTTTGGGAATTCATGAGGACTTTAGAGAACCCTGTGCGGAGATTAGTGCCTCAGTATGATGCCTGGGTGATTGCTTTTTATGCAGTTCTATATTTATGTCGCCTATGAATGATACTTTTGGTGGCGCCTATCATTGTCTGATGTTATTATCTGTGAACTGTTCAGGTTATTGGTAGTTGAGAGCTGTGTCCTATATTTACTTGCCTATTTGCTATCGTTTCTAAGGGACAAATTATACGAGACTACGAGTTTATGAAATGCGATTGTGGTCATGAATCGGTTATTGTTCAGTCGGGCAACGATGTGTTTTTCCAGTTCCTAAACCGTTCATTCTGGACTCGCTTAACCGATCATACGACGAGCAGGCGTTAGCCTATCAAGTGTCACTAGGTGTTCCGTCTCATCACTGGAAAAAACGAAACTCCAGTATTTGATAACTTGGCTTGTCAAATGCCATATGTGCCATATGTATAGGGTACTAAACACTACCCACTCTTCATTACGCTTAATTCACTTGTCTCGCTTCCCATTTACTATAGATTTGCAAACAAATTGACTTGGCTTGGAACTGACTAAGGGAAGTGTATAGAGGGTAGCGAAATGCCTTCAAGACCACTTCATTGATTCGATGAAGCATTGTCCTGTGATCCAAAACAGATCTGAGACTGGACTCGTGAGGGTCACTCGATCAGTCAGCTAATCGAAAGCGTTCTCTACACGAATGTGTGACGGACAGACCGAGACCGTTTGGTAGCATATGGCGACCAGATCAGTGCACGCACGTAAGCACTAACTCATTCCAGTCGTATCAGTTGAAGTCGGGTCACCTGTCCGTTTGGTTCTTTTAGGTAAGATGTGTGACCATCGGTGTGGCATAAACGAGCCCACCTTGACAGCTAGCGCGGTAACCACACAGCAGTTCGAAAATCTTAATCGGATTTAAGACACAATGGAAAGGCTTGGCAGCGAATGTGTTTAGTAGGTGTGACATTCGATTTCCGTAGTTGTTTGGGTGGTGGGAAAGGCCTGCGAAACGACGGCAGTAGCACACGAATCATAACTTCTGGTTTGTGGATCACCCATGAGATAATCGATATCAACCTTACGGCTGTGAGAGTTTACTCCTCCACGCAGAAGACGTACGGATATTAAGTGTCTTTGCTCGCCGTTGCCTTCGTTGCCTCGCCAGAATACGTTGGCAACAGCAAATCATCAACGACGAGCTTCGCCGAAGAATCTTTACCGCAGACAATTTTAGTCGTCCTCTGAGTGCCGTCATCTTGCTCCAGAGACTTCGATGGCTAGGACATGTTTTG